ACTGAATGTGTACTAATACACATCGTGTTTTTTTTGGAATATAGGCTGCATATGTATGTGTATATATATATATATATATATATATATATATATATATATATATATATATACACATATACAAATATGAAACCAAGAGCCTGCGCTCACCTGAACATGCATACATTATAGGGTGCTGCTGGGGCCAATTTATACAATTTACGAGATCCAGCGCACTTGCTCATCCATTAAACAGCAATTTCAAGTTTCACAGAATATAATAGTTTTATTTAAAAACACCTCACCTAGGCAAAAATAATGGGGTTAACTTACAGTATATGATCATACATTGCATAAGTCTGCCACAACTGTGACCTGCAGAGAGCCCCAGGAGGAAGTATTTCCCAAGTAACTGGATGAATCTCATAAGAGCAGGCATTGGGATGCTAGAGTAAGACCTGGAGTTGTGGCAGTCTTATGCAATGTATGATCATATACTATAACTAAACCCCTGTTATTGTTTGCCTATGTGTTTTTAAATAAAACATTTACATTTTGTGAAACATGAAATTGCTGTTTAGTGGATGAGCAAGTGCACTGGAACTTGTATCTTCTATATTATATATGCATATACCTATGAACTTCCCCGGTGAAGGAGATCAAAGATCATAAATGATCAAAGATCTCCCTCACCATGCCATTGCAGGCTTCCTTAGTAAGAGAGGGAGCCTATAAGCCTATCTTTCTTCCGCTTCCTCTCTCGAGCGCCGGCCTGTCAGAGAATCACCATAGGTTACCACAGCAACAATGCCAGAGCTCACCTTTAGAGTCTGCCCCTTGCAGAAGTGCAGCAGTGCAGCAGTGATTCCCTAGAACACCTTGGGACCACTTGACCGCCAGGGGATGTTGTGTCTCCTGTCCCTGGCCTGAGGCAAGAAGCAAAGTGGGAAATAAACTTAAATATGACAAAATAACAGTAATAATAATTAAAAAAATAAATGAAACTGCTCCTCTGTTGTTCCCCACAGAGCACAGCCCCTACCCCACGCTACAAATTCTCATACTCGCACACACACACACTGTATTTGTGATACACTACATCCCCAACATACACGCTATTCCCCTACATACTGCATCCACTGTACACTACCCATAAACTGAAGTTTACTGTAATTAGAGTACTTTTTTTGTTTTTTTCCACTACATATCTAGTTAAAATACATGGGTGCCTCTTACATTCCAGTGCACCTTTTTGTCTTAAAAATCTGTTAAGTTAATTAGGATGATGTTCGATGTGGCTGTCACAAAATCTTTACAATAAATGTATCATTGTTGAGGCCTACCAACATGATCAAAAGTGATATACGACTGGTTCTCTATGTAAATTGGCTGACAAATGTTATTGAAACAAAAAACAGCATCAGGCTGGAGTAAATTGAGCCCATGGTGTAAAGTAGAAAGAAAAGATTATTATGAAAAAAATGAACTCACAAATGTTATGTATTTTGTTTTAACACCAATGGGGCACTTTCTATGCAACACATAGTTTTATTCATTATATTGCAGCTCAAAATAAATGATAAAAAATATAAAACATTAATTTCACATTTAAAAAAAAAAAAAGCAGTTGAGCCTGAGAGGTATAAAAGGTTTCCAGTAGTTTGGAGGTTTTAAATTAAACATTTTTTTTCCAATTCTTTGCATTCTATTTTCCCTAGACAGTGAAATTCATAAACTTGCAGCCATGTGACTAAATTCAAAGTGGGATGAGTTGCTATGGCAACATACTGACTGACAATTTGCTGTTTAAAGTAGGTGCATTTGAGATTGAATTTGCAAGAATCTATGTATACCAAACAAATCATAGTCTCGTGAATAGAAGAAAAGGTTTGCACTAAATTTGGTTAGGAGTTTTTCCAGTAATGCAGAGTTTAAAGCTGTGCAACATATTTGTTGTAAACCTCTTAAATTGATCAAAATATGTGAGTGCTAGATTATAGATGAAATTCAGAAAATGTTCTATTCAAGCTGCATGTTTATTCGTTAGTCATAACTATAAAAGTGCCGTTTGCTGTAAAAAAAAAAAAAAGTAGAGTTTAACAATCGATCTGCCTGTTTCTTTATTCAGTGCTTATGTTGTATGGCTTTCTTCAGATGTTGTCATTGAACTATTAAAAATAGTTATTACTATGTATAATGAATAGATTTTATGTTTGTGTATGCATGCGCATATGCAATTTCAAAATTGCATATCAAAAATAAAAGTATTTTAAGAAAGAAAAAAGGTCTAAAGTCAATTTCATTTCATGTTGAAATGGAATTTAAAAAAATGTGATGGAGCACACTCTCAATCCCCTGTCTTTCTTTTCCTCCATCCACACTTTCCTACTTCACATTTTATTTTCTTCTCTTTCTTTCTTCTTTCTCTTTCTTTTATTTTTCAGTATACAGTTTTCCTGTTTTTTTCCAATTTTTTAAGTTTATAACTCTAGTGGCTATTTTTTTTATTTCTTATTTAATATTTTTGTAGTGCATTTAGTGAATGCATAAATGCATTCGGTGCCCCGACAGCAGTCCTCCGGCTTATTACATGTGGTACAATCAGGGTGTTTGCAGGAACATGCACAATTTTTAAGATAATAAGATTGACACTTAGGTGATGTCGCTTAAATAGGTATGAACATAGGTTGAACTAAGCTTGTCATGCATTAGGTTAGGTCTAAGCAGGTTACATTTGCGTTTAAAAGTTACTGTACGCTGGAGCTGCAGAGTGCTAGCAATGGTACCTTAGAATTATTAACTAAACAGTGCGAAAACATAGGTAAGACATGGTAAAGTAATGCCTAACATTCTGCTCTTGAGTCCCATTAACGCTAGACCTCTGGGCTGTCCAGCTGCAGTGGCTGCATGTTACTGGAACGGTGAGCATTTGTGGGCTTGTGGTAGTGCTCCTGTCAGCCAATGCCCTCTGTTGGGATACTGTCAGCACCCGCTGGAGGTCCTCTGGGAGCCGCTGGTGTGAGGTTGCTCATGAGGGTGACCTTCTTGCCCCAGGTCGGTATGAGGTCTTGCATCCGTTGACCACAAACTCTGTACTTGCTATAGTCCGAGTTTCTTCCCCGCATAGGTGTAACGGAGGGTCTGGTGGATCGCTTGTGTTTGCGCAGCCTGGGCCTCCGTATGTGTGGTTGACTTTTTGGGTGTTCCCCGGTTTGACCTTCAACCCGGGTTGGCTCTGTGGCTCGGGGGTAAGTGGAGATGCTGTCGCTGTGCCCAAGGACTTTCCCCTCACTTCCCTCTGTCCTCGCCTCAGCTCACCCTTGGTCTGTGGAGTGGAGTGTGTTGTGCGGGCTGGGCTGCGTGTTATCGCTCCCAGAACTGTTCCCAAAAGCGGTTGAAGCTGTCGTCTATTCATTCCATGATGTCTTGGTGTAGCTTTTTTTGAGAGTGCAGGCTCTTTTCGAGTGTCGCTGTTTCAGCCGCCATTTTAGGTGCGCCCAGCATAGGAGCGTTGTAGCTTTGATGTGTGCTTTTTGGCGGGCTGATCGCTCCCGACTTCCAGCCTAGACCAAGATATCCCACATCGGTCCAAAGGGGGTGGGGGGCTAGGAGGTGAGTGTTCAGTGGGGTCGGTATGCGGAGGTGCCGGTACGGAGAGCGGCCGCCTCTCCCTGGCTCCAAGGCAGGTAGGCCCCATCCTGTGTTTGCGGGTTCCCGGTGCGTTCCTCAACCATACAAGAGTCTGATCCCACGTACCCAAGGGACTGGTCTTCCCTGTGCCCCATAGCTGTAGAGTGGTGCTCTATCCACTCCACCTTGAATTAATACTTACTAAATATGTTTGCTTATAACACTAATTTCTGTTTTGTTTCCTTTTTTTAGCTTATTTGCTATTGGTTTTAAATATTGCTGTGACCAAACACTAGACTTTAGTAGCACTTTTCATGCACTGTATCATTTTATGTTTGTTGCAATGTTTTATGGTGTATGTGTATATCTTTGGCATATTGTCATATATTTTAAATGGGTAGATATTTGTTTTTATCGGTAATTCTTATGTCTACATTATTTTAGGGGATTTTTACATTATTTTAGGGGATATCGCAAGTATTTGTGTGTTTTTTGAAGATTGCTATGACCACACATTATACTTTAGTATCACTTTTCATATACTTTATCACTGTATGATTGTTGGTTGTAACATTTTATAGTGTTTATCAATTTGGTACATTGGTATACAGTTGCAAGAAAAAGTATGTGAACCCTTTGGAATGATATGGATTTCTGCACAAATTGGTCATAAAATGTGATCTGATCATCATCTAAGTCACAACAATAGACAATCACAGTCTTCTTAAACTAATAACACACAAAGAATGAAATGTTGCCATGTTTTTATTGAACACACCATGTAAACATTCACAGTGCAGGTGGAAAAAGTATGTGAACCCTTAGACTAATGACATCTCCAAGAGCTAATTGGAGTGAGATGTCAGCCAACTGGAGTCCAATCAATAGGATGAGATTGGAGGTGTTGGTTACGGCTGCCCTGCCCTATAAAAAACACACACCAGTTCTAGGTTTGCTTTTTACAAGAAGCATTGCCTGATGTGAATGATGCCTTGTACAAAAAGAGCTCTCATAAGACCTACGATCAAGAATTGTTGACTTGCATAAAGCTGGAAAGGGTTATAAAAGTATCTCCAAAAGCCTTGCTGTTCATCAGTCCATGGTAAGACAAATTGTCTATAAATTGAGAAAGATCAGCACTGCTTCTACTCTCCCTAGGAGTGGCCGTCCTGTAAAGATGACTGCAAGAGCACAGTACAGACTGCTCAATGAGGTGAAGAAGAATCCTAGAGTGTCAGCTAAAGACTTACAAAAGTCACTGGCAAATGCTAACATCCCTGTTTTACAATACGTAAAACACTAAACAAGAATGGATTTCATGGGAGGATACCACAGAGGAAGCCACTGCTGTCCAAACAAAACATTGCTGCACCTTTACAGTTTGCACAAGAGCACCTGGATGTTCCACAGCAGTACTGGCAAAATATTCTGTGGACAGATGAAACCAAAGTTGAGTTGTTTGGAAGAAACACACAACACTGTGTGTGGCGAAAAAAAGGCACAGCACACCAACATCAAAACCTCATCCCAACTGTGAAGTATGGTGGTGGGGGCATCATGGTTTGGGGCTGCTTTGCTGCGTCAGGGCCTGGACGGATTGCTATCATCGAAGGAAAAATGAATTCCCAAGTTTATCAAGACATTTTGCAGGAGAACTTAAGGCCATCTGTCTACCCGCTGAAGCTCAACAGAAGATGGGTGTTGCAACAGGACAATGACCTAAAGCATATAAGTAAATCAATAACAGGAATGGTTTAAACAGAAGAAAATACACCTTCTGAAGTGGCCCAGTCAGAGTTCTGACCTCAACCCGATTGAGATGCTGTGGCATGACCTCAAGAAAGTGAACACCAGACATCCCAAGAATATTGCTGAACTGAAACAGTTCTGTAAAGAGGAATGGTCAAGAATTACTCCTGACCGTTGTGCATGTCTGATCTGCAACTACAGGAAACGTTTGGTTGAAGTTATTGCTGCCAAAGGAGGTTCAACCAGTTATTAAATCCAAGGGTTCACATACTTTTCCACCTGCACTGTGAATGTTTACATGGTGTGTTCAATAAAAACATGGCAACATTTCATTCTTTGTGTGTTATTAGTTTAAGAAGACTGTGATTGTCTATTGTTGTGACTTAGATGATGATCAGATCACATTTTATGACCAATTTGTGCAGAAATCCATATCTTTCCAAAGGGTTCACATACTTTTTCTTGCAACTGTATATTATAAGTTAGTAAATATTTTATGTGCACTATTTATATATTATTACCTGAAAGTTCCTCATAGATGCTTCCATCTTCTTTCAACAGCTCCTGGCACTTCACCCAGGAGCCATGAAATGCTCATAAATATTTTTTGGGGGGAGGAGGGGCACTTTAAGAGAAATGCAGGGCCACTTTAAGGGAAAGTCATGGAAGCCAGTTTGGCCAAAAAAGTCAGTTAAACTTTATGCCAAAAAGGTCCATAGTCTCTGAACAAAAGGTCAGCCCACAAGCCTTTATGGCAGGGATGCCCAAAAGCTATATTCCCAGATGTTGTAGAACTAAAACTCCAATGCTTTTAGAATGTCTTTAAAATCACAAAGCATCATCAAAACGTTTGAAACATTTGGGGATCTACGTTTTGGGCACCCCTACTCTATAGTATTTGAGATATTACAAACAATGTGGTAGCTGACTCTAGGACTCTGGAAATAGAAGACATAATAGCATGCACCAGATGGGAGATTCCAGGACAGACCTCTAGAGTACCAAATGAGCTGGGGTATGCATTCACACATATTGCATTTAATTTAAAGAAATCCGAAGCAAAAATAGAATAGTCTTTGATTTATTTTTCAATATAGAACCCTATACCTATCCAATATGTAATGTATGCATTTCTTGGAAAAAACAATCCATCTACATTGTCAATAATGAGAAAAAAGTTCTCTTGGTAGTTTAACCAAGCATTAGTATTTTTGGTTGCAGTAGTATTTTTTTAAATAGATCAAAAGGTGCAAATAGTAAAATCTCAGCTGTACGGAATTTCCAAATATCCATTGTCTTTCTTAAAGAATATTAATAAAAAGAGATCTCTAAAACATAGGGAAATAAATTAAATAATACAATACATAGGTACTGGGAGCGAGGCCAACCTAGGATTACAATGTATATTTATTAGCATATGGAAAATATGCACAGACAATAAATAAAAATGAGTTTAGTACTGATTAGAAGGCATCAGGATATTTTTTTTTACTGATCAAAGTTAAAAACGCATGCATGGGAATATATCTGTTGGCCTGAATGGGGCAATCTCAGCACATGTGCAAACATTGAGTTATTCTGTGGATTTTCATCATGATATATGCTGCATTTGAATATTTAAAAGGATTTGCCATACACTTTACTGTCATTCATCATTACTCCAACATGAGCCCTATGTGTATTTTGTCAAAGTGTTTAGGCAGGATGCTGTGACAGCTTGACTTGATGGATTGTAAGCACTTTAATTTTTCTGTTGCATAAACTCTTTAGTTATTGAAGCCTATTTGCATGATCACTCAAAGCCTCAAGAACGGCGACAGAAGTTTGCTAACAAGCGGTCGTGGAGCATTGGTTTTAAATGCTTAACATCAAAAATTGTTCCACATTTGCAGAAGATTTTTTTTGTTCTAAAGTATTAGGTGCCTTGTTTTGCTTTTGTTTTTATCCATATCTTTGAATAGGACACATGTTAAAAAATAAAGACAGCTACATTTATGCATGAATATTTTCTGTACCTAATATTTTAAATGGAATTTCTTACATTTGTTTGAATTGTATGTAGTTCTAGAGTACAATAGTTTGATTAAAGGGATTCTATAGTGCCAGGGAAACAAACCAGTTTTCCTCGCACTATAGGCTCCTGCAGTGCCCCCCTCTCGCGGTGCTGAAAGGGTAAAAAACCCTTCAGTCAGTTACCTGAATCCAGCGCCAGTGTCCATCGGTGTTGGGTCAGGCTCCACCCATGCTCGGCAATTGCCGCTCTTGCATTAGGATTTCCCTATAGAAAAACATTATTCAATGCTTTCCTACGGGGAAAAATCTGACGCTGGAGGTCTTCATGCAGAGCGTGAGGACGTTCAGTGTCAGACAACGGAAAGTCTCAAGAAATGCAATAATTACCACTGTAGGGTTAGAGGACATGGGACATTGCACCAAGACCACTTCAATGAGCTGAAGTGGTATGGGTGCCTACAGTGTCCCTTTAAAGACATCTATATGATACTACTGTCTTGCATATATTGTATCTTTATGTACCTGATCAGCAGTATCATTGTATATGTCCCAGTTCGCACAGTATCATTGTACAAAGCAGTTTTTGAGAGAAGAGACACCTGTACGTTACAACTCACTGTTTGATATTTAATCATCATGATAATGGCTGCTGATGAGCAATTAATGATGTCAAAGAAATCACAATCTCACCTTTCTTTACGTTTGACAACATTTTTATCATTATTGATGTGCTGAAAAAGAGAAATATGTTAAACAATCAAGTTTCAGTGATCAAAATCTTTTTTAGAAAAAGACATATTGACACTTCAATGGAACTAGAGCACACTCCACAAATTTAGCACCATAAAGATCTTGAAAAGTCCCCGAAAATGCTTTTCAAAGACTAAATAAATACCCAAAATAGTATTTGTACATAAAATAAAAAAACTAACACTACAAATACCTCCCCTAACATGATGATTTTTACAAGCAACATTTACTATTCATCAACAATCAATGACACCAATAAAAGGACAAATTAGCACCATAACTACAATATATCTCAGCAAAATTGATAAATGTAGTACCTGAAAATTCTATTTTTAATTATTTTAAAGAAACACACTCTGCAATATCCATATGAAAAATTATAGGTTAATTAACCCCTTAAGGACCAAACTTCTGGATTAAAATGGAATCATGACATGTCACACATGTCATGTGTCCTTAAGGGGTTAAACACCTGTCACCTATTAGCATTATCAAGGTACTTGACTGCCTGTAACCTTCAAGCTGTGATGTTACTGAAAAACCTTATGAAGGTGCTATGATTTTTTTAGTTGTTACCCTCATAGTAGTAATCTACTGAGCTTAACATTGTGCAATTAATAAATAAATCAGTTACTATATAAATCAGAACCAATTAGGCCCAGTTTTTAATTTGATAATACTTTCTGCCATCATTCCTGGCAGGAAAATGTTTTACAATTTTTTGATAGTGATTGCTTTGAAAACTTTCACCTCTAAAAATGCTTTGATCAAATGCAAAGGCGACCAATAGGAAACCAGTTCCCATCACTCTACTTAACCCTAGAAGATTGATACATATTATCCTGAATGCTGCTATCAAGAGTTTTATAGAAGGAAAATAATAGAATAGAAAATAATCGTAACTAAGCATGAGCCAACTCCGATATCGAAAAACTATTTTAGGATATTCCACAACATATATGTATGAATATATACATACGTGCATTTGTGAACTGAGTTATATATAATTCACTTCATGAGTATACATTACCCAGTTTAGTAATTGAAGGAAAGCTTGCCTGGGGACTGAAATGTAGGAATCGTAGAATCTTTTATCATCTATTATCTCTGTGCCGTACCACATGAGACGTTTTTGCATTCAGCAGGAAGGAACCACCTAGACCTCGATCTTTCCATATGCAGGAATTGTTTGAGAACATCATTTGAACTGACTGAGTGACAATTAGTTCAATTTACTGTACTGAATAAAAATATGCCTTTAACTAGCGGAATCTTCAATGATTTGCTACACTATTGTTCTACATAAGCTGGCACCCTGGGAGATACACAACCTGCTGTATCCTAACAGAGTTTTTATAAAGGTATACTGTATGAGATAGTATTTAATTTACTTTTATCTTTCAATCAATTGCTATAGCTACGTAGACAGTGTGACATTTGACTTAACCTGCCCTGCAGTATTCTAGGATCTAATATTCGAATCCTCTAGGGAGATTCCTTTGTTCCTTGCAATTAAAGCTCAGTTTTGCATAAAACAAGTTGCATTAGAAATAGATACTTAGTTTTGTCCATTGACATATATATTCATATATATATATATATATATATATATATATATATATATACACACAATAGAGCCCAATGTTTTTATTTTAATAGCCCCTTTTCCAACCGCAAATTCACAAAAGCATCCATTTTTGTTAAATTTCTTTATATAGTACATAAAATATTCACATGAGAAAATAAGTAACACCCTAGCATTGCGTTATAAAGGTTATACATGAACAAACAAAACATTGTCTATTTAAAAAAAATAGAATAAAATAGATTTTTTTTAATCCATTTTCCTTAACTGATATATGTCCAGTGTGGAATTTTTCTTTCAACCAATACATGGGGACTTTAACACTTTAATTCCAGATTAATAAGATGAACTCCACGCTGTGTCCTCCCATACCTGAAACCATGGTGTAGAAACCCCTCTTTCCCTGGACAGCACCCTCACACATCATACATCCCTAGATAGCTTATCACCCTGTCCAAGTTTTGCCTGGATTGGAGAATCTGTGCCCAAGCAACAGTGTATCAATGTACCTCCAGGTCACAGCCATTCTCCCATCCGGCT